GCCAACAGAGCACACGTGCACTTTCTCTGGTCATGTCGCAATTACACTATATTGCTTTGCGCGCTTTTGCGCAACGCCGCGCCGGATTTAATCTGCAAAAACTACGCGTGTTCACTCTATAGATAAGTTATGTGACAGGACGTAATAATAACAGTATGACACAGTCACTAGAAAATATCAAAACTATTATATATTAAAATATTTAGAGTTTAGACTATACAATTCTAAGTAATGTTTTATAATTTTTTCTTTCTATATAATTTATTGACTCATAACCTACACGTATAATATAACATTTTTTATTTTTGTTTTTTAATACTGAAAATAAGAAAATTTAAATCTGGTTTAAATATTTTTCAAAATTTCGAAATAACAAATTTGTTAATCTAGTTTTTAGGAAACTTTTGATTCTAAAAACATTTATCTAAATCCAATGGTTTATTTTTATGATTTTTAGTTTTTTAGTAAAACTCATTAATTTGAAAAGTAAAAACTAATAACATTTAAAAAAATATTTAGATTTTAACTGGTATGTATACTTTTTAAAAATTATCCTAAAATATTTTTAAAAAATTTTTTATACTTTTTGAATTCGAAGTGTTTTTTTACCATTGGATCAGATTACGTTACTTAACAAAAATAATGAGATTTGTATAATCTCTATATCATTGTATAAGAAAAACTATTCTGTGCAGGAGACGGTAAGTCAGTCTAGGTATAAGATTTATTGTATACTTATCTATGGTATTAAAAAAAAATTGACCCATAATAGGTACCTATAATAAATTCCAAATTAATCATATCACAATATTATCCATTATGTACTTATAACGCGTTATACATTAACAACAAAACGTGATACTATCATAGATATATAATAGTAGACTTTAGAAGTTTCAAGTATCCACGAATAATATTATAGAATCACAACAAAATAACTAAAATGGTTATTTTAGGTTTTTTAATATGTAATTTCATCCAAATTTGAACTTAAAATTACTATAAAAATAAACTGTGCCTATGTATTTTTTAGATTTTTTGGTAACAGAATTAACTACTTTTATTACTTATATTTTTTTAAATTTTCAATCCTTCGATATAAAAGTTGAACATTTTATAAATTTTTAACTACAAAATAATTATTCAATTTTAAATTTGATAAATTTTGTCAAAATTTGATCTTTAAATGCTTATGAAAAAAAAAATTGTGCCTATGTATTTTTAATATTTTTCAACTGATATTGTAACAATATATCAGGAGCCTTGTATTTTTACACTTTTTGGCCCAACAGATAAAACTTTATTGATATTTATAGAAAAAAAAACTAAAAAAAATTGAAAGCTGTAAATGTCCGTAAACAGCTGAAAAAGAGTCAAAATATTTTCAAAATTGTATGGGGTATAAAATATGAACACTTAGTGAAAAATGCATGTACCTGTAGTTATTTATTTTTGAATTACAACAAAATAACAAATTAAAATTAATTGTAACAAATTAAATTAAAACATATACGGTGGATTTTTTATCCCCCGTATATAAATTATGATTATGCGTACCTACTACAGTACTACCTACAAATAATAATTTTATTTTAATGTTTTAATATTTACGTGTATAAATCTGCCAGGATAAATATATATTTATTAAATGTATTATATTATAATATAATCACACATTCACTCTCGTGCGGCCGGGCGGGAAAAATGGAAACTTGATAAAATGTTAATATACTGACTTCTATAGATTATAGATTTACGACTTGTCGAAAAGGATAAATTTGGTTCGCCACAGCTGTAGAGTGTATAGTTAGGGTTGTCACGCCTGACGTCTAACGACATTTGTATTCGTAATTTAACTAACTGGCACAACCACATAGTGTGGATATTTCACACGTTTTCTAGGGGGATATAATATAGTGTCAAGGTTCGATGCCAGCAAACCGGCAAACCGCAACGGACAGGACAATTCGAGGTGGTACCTATGTAGAAATCGCTATATACCCATGTATGTCTCACCAGTCCCAATGATAGTCTACGCAAATATAACGTTTTTGGACTAATTTCATTAAAATTGTTACACAAATTAAAAAAATGAATAAGTTTTTGTTTAGTTTAAAATATCGTAATATTATAGGTATTCAATTTCAAGCTTTGTTTTCCTAAAACAACCAAAAGTAAAATTTATAATTTCTATTAAGTATTAATCTATTATAAACTATTTTAAAATAGTAAATTCTTGAACATAATGATAGTAAACAAATTAGAAAGCAAATTAATAATTTGTATACAAAAACATCTTAGGACATGGATACCTTAATTGTTTTAAATACACAAAAGATAACGAAATTAATTATTTGCAAGGATAAACATGGTGAAACACCCTGTATAAAGTGTGTGAATCAACATGTTCCCCGGAGTCCTTGGGCTTGAACGGCACCAACAAAGTGTGATGGAAGCGGTCATAAAAGATACGGTCCCGTGGACATATATAGGAGTATAATATAGGAATATGTAAAGCGCGTGCAGAAAATGACCAATTTTCTTACGCAAAGTCAAACTTATTTTCAAGTATAGAATAAAAACGCGTTAAAATCCAAAATAATTTTAGTTATATTATTTAATCGGATGAACTACTGAAATTAAATCAGTATCGAGTATAAAACAAAGAGACATTTATTTATGGACACCTCCTAATAGACTAGACTTCTCTATGGAGACAATTTCAAAATAACTAACCTGATAAATATTTTTACGTTGTTTTTTATTAATTATCGGACATAATATCTGTATAGTCTATATAATCTACAGTGGACGAATTCACAATTTATAGTTTATAATGTACATGAATATATGATACACGAGTGTCCGTTAAATATAGTGGTCAATACATTATACAATTGTACTAAGTATTAACAGATTGTTTTAAATTCAAAAAAAAACATATTAAATTATTTAAACCATATTATATAGCAATATCAGCATGCTGAGTTATATACCTATAGGTTATATACACTGTAAATTGAGAATAAAAACTACTGAGTCGTGATGTAATAGACCATAAACATTTCTTTCATAAACAAATCATATTTAAACATCAATGTTTATTTTATTGTAACTAATAAATTATAATAACGAATAATATAAGATGATGATAATATTGTATGCCCTGTAGTCTGTAAATCGAAGAACCGTCATGTTAATAGACAATAATAACGGGTATTGTTATCTGTACCTCGCGATGTTGTTATCAGAGTGAAAATTGTTCATGTCGAGTATTCTAACGTGTTGAATTATAATACAGTAGATACGTCAAACGAGTTTTACTTTTGCAACATCGGCTGTTGGACCCGTCAAAGAGACCGTGTGTGTCGGTGTGTTTGATCAAGTTCAGGAATAATTAAAAACGCACAGGTTAGTCACGACACTGGTGGGCTGTTTGGCCTTCTGGGGATAATGTAAATCCAAAAAAAACGTAATCAATGAGACGGAGGTGTTCTACATAATTTTTCATCGCATTGATATGAAAAACGTGTACAGCAATTAGAAAATGTTCAATAACAATTAAATATTTTTGAATATAGGCCATAGGTTAGGTAGATATAGCCATATATAGGTACCTATCCACAGAAATTAATCTAACAAATTACTATATAAGAACGTATGAGGTATAATCAACAAAAAAAAAAAAGTGATCTGCTGTACAGTAGGTTACAAGTGGGTTACTGTATAATGGATGGTATTAAATTTGAATTCAATGATATAATATAATTATATAAGAAAAACGATTCTGAGCGGAGACGGTATATCAGTCTAGGTTTAAGACATATTATATACCTACATATCTATGGAATTTTAAAAAATATTGACCTATAATAGGTACCTATAATAAATTCCAAATTAATCATATCACAATATCCATTAGATACTTATAACGCGTTATGCATCAACAACAAACTCTGATACTATCATAGATATATAATAGTGTATTTTAGAAGTTTCAAGTACCCACCAATAATATTATACAATCACAAAAAAATAACTAGGTTTTTTTAATATGTAATTTCATCAAAATTTGAACTTAAAATGACTATAAAAATAAACTGTGCTTGTGTATTTTTTAGATTTTCTGGTAACAGAATTAAATATATACATGGAATCTTATTTTAAATTTTCAATCCTTAGATATAAAAGTTGAAAATTTTATAAATTTTTAACTACAAAATAATTATTCAATTTTAAATTTGATACATTTTGTCAACATTTTATCTTTAAATGCTTATAAAAAAAATTGGTATTTTTAATATTATTCAACTGCTATTGTAACAATACATCAGAGCCTTGTATTACATTTTTACATTTTTAGGCCCAACAGATAAAACTTTATTGATATTTATAGAAAAAAAAAACTAAAAAAAATTGAAAACTTAAAATGTCCGTGAACAGCTCAAAAAGAGTCAAAATTGTATGGTGTATAGGAAATTAAAATTTTACTGAATGTTTGAATTAGCATGTATCTACAGTTATTCGTTTTTGAATCACAACAAAATAAGGAAATCGCTACATGAGAAATCGAGTGAATATCCAATGTTGTAAAAATTTGAATTTCAAACGCTCATAAAATTTTATTTGACTTTCTTATAGACATTTTATTTTTTTGATAAAGGTAGATTATCTTATAAGGAATCTTGTATTACATTTAAACTAATGGTAGGTAGACAAACATGGAAAAAAATTCAGAGAACCATAAATTTACAAGGCACACCTAGTGAAGAAGTCAAATAATTTTGCTACTTAGGTAACCATATAACACGTGATAATAAATACACGACAGAAATAAAGAGAGCTTTGGCTAAGCAAGCTTTTACTAAGAAACAAAATCTTTTAACAAGCAGACACTTATCAATAAAAATTAGAAAGCTTTTTATTGAAATGTATGTTTTGAGTGTAGCGTTATATGATATAGTGTGACATGGACCTTAAGCACTCTAGATAAAAGAAGAATGGAAGCATTAGAGATGTCGAAAATGTTGAAGATTAGCTGGAGAGAAAGGAAATCGAACATAGAAGTGTTAACTATGATAGAAGAACCAAGACAAATTATCAAAATGATGAAAATAAGAAAAGCTAAGTTTTTCAAACACATTATGAGACATAACACTTTAATTACAAATATTATGGAAGGGAAGATAAATAGGAAAAGAGGAAGAGGACGGCCGAGAGAAACAAATTTTGGAAATATGAAGAAGTTATTATCGCTAGAGGATTGGTTGAAACGACAAGGCGATATTGCCTTTAGATAAAAAAAATAAAAAATAAAAAAATATATAATACTTAATAACTAAAACAATAATAGTAATATACCTATGGGATATGTGAAATTCGTTTTTGGTAAAAACTAGTTCAACCTATACCTATATTCTGTTACTAAGACTAACAGAAAATTAAATTGCTAATAAGTAGTAATAACAATATAAATATACAATTAAATAATTTTAGAAATATTAATATAGGCCCCGCTCAGAATTGTTTTTCGTATACAATGATTGAATTCAAATTTAACACATCCATTACTATGACCTACTCAATGACGAGGTACACTGGAAACATCCTATACAGCGGAGTGACTTACCCGGTTAGGTTTTTTCATTAGTTTAAATATGTTGAATACAAAATGGTACGAAGATTTATGCACTTATATATATTTAATATTTTTATCGTTAATACAAAACAGAACAAGTGAACAACACACAATTTGCATGTATTAAAATCCAATAAGGGTATGTATGTGCGACATATAAATACAATTATATAAATACTAATTGCACACGACAAGTCGACAACGTTTTAAAAAATATCTAAACAATGGCTAAGCAATAACATTATAACTAATATATAATTAAAGTTTAAGGGTGAATATTTAAATTTGTGGTCATCACACCCCACACAATATTCCATCCAAACCTTAACACCACAATGCTATACAGAAAACTAAAAAACGAACGAATACCTAATACCATATTGGCAATTAAAGTTCAATTGTTAGTTTTTAAATTATAATAATACGAATGTTTTAATCTAGAATATTACAATAATCAAGATATATCAAGGATATTTGGTCGACAATAATCAGTTTACTGTTCCAAAAACCAAGTAACATGCATCCTGTACATGTACAATGTACCTACTACCTACTGCAGATTACAAACCTCATCTAAACAATCAACACGTAATAATATAGATAATACAATCGACAGCTGACATAATAATATAATTTCCATATTTTAGTTTTTTATAAAGTGGCGCATTTATAAGTTATTGATTACGATGTCAACAATAGTGAGAAATAAGAGCTTTTGCGGAAATAGGTACATATTTTTAAATAACTACCTATATCTTGACTACCCTCGAATCTCCGATGCGTGTCTTATGTGATTAGAAGACGGCGACGGCATCGGTGGCCTCGAAAGGTCAAACCGTAAGTATATGTTTATGTGTTTGTTTCTACTGGACGTCCTACTGGAATATAAAGGTTTATAAAAAAAATACATATTTTTTTATGCGGCCGTTTTATAATATGTGTTATATACACGTTAATGTGTCCGCCGGACTTCCAAAACGGGAGGACCGGTGCCTAGTTTGCAAACCAGTATTTTCAGCAGCCAAATGTCATTCCATCGGGACTGCACAATTCCGTTCATTTCATCTCTCCATTATGTTAATGTTGCCGGCAAAACCGGTCACCCAAAAGTACAAGTATGACCCAGTACACGCGCGCTTTCCCCCACTTGATAGGACATCTACAAGGGGATAAATCCTTTATAACTACACACACACACATTATTATAATAAAATTATATCTTATTGAGTTTCTAGACATGTCCTCAAGAACATCATCAATGACCCGCCCAGCGGTGGTTTCTCCACAAGTGGATTAATATCGGTACCCATAGAGTTTCCTCTCTACATCTTACTAAAAATCGGATCACAAACCATCCACTAGCCAAATCAGCCAAACCAATCACTAATCTATCCGTATACACGATTATTAGTGTCCGACAGTAATAAAAATAATCATCTTACAACGCTTAACACGGAAATAGTGTCGATGGAATATCGAACAATTATTTATTTAACACGCCGATATCAATATATTATATAATAGTACTTGTAAATTGTAACAAGCTATATCGTCTCGTATTTCTGAATTCAGAATTGGACAATTTATACCCGACCGCGAATATTAACCACAATCGATCACCGTTAATAGTTTTAAATTAAATTAAATTTTGAAACCAGTTATTCGAAGCAATGACAATAACGAGAGGGTTCGAATTGTTTCATTTTTTATTTTTATATAAATCTTAAAATTGTAATCGAATTGTTTCCAATTTGGTAAATTAGGTTCCTGAATTTCGGTAGATCGACATTTCTGTACGTAACTAGTAACTATTGAAGTGGTAGAAAAAACTAATATAATATACGGTAGAACTATACAGTACATTATTAATATATAAATTACATAGGTAGGTATAATATGTATAGTACGCTAATATTGAGAATTTTTAAATAGAACATTTAAAATGTTTCAATATTGTGTGTATCTTTTATACACAAATAATTCAACTCTAATTGCCAATCTATATACATATTATTGTAAATTATAAAATATAAATTATGATCTATTGATGAATAATAGTATGATGAATTTATGATGATGAAAGTAAATTATTTGTAAATAGATTGATATATAGGTACCTATAATATATTAGCATTTTTATCACATATTTAAATGAACTTTAGAATTTATTGATATTTCCGAGATTTTGTAAATTTAATGAATATCTGTTTTAATTACACAAATATACCTATTATTAGGTATATTGTATATATTTTTATTTTTATGGATAAAGTATATTTAAATACTGACAGTTAATATTAATGACCATTTGTATCATATAATTTTCAACTTAATGTTACCTATATTTTAAGTTAGTAAGACATTGACTATATTATTGAATATCGAAATTAAAAATAATTTCATAATCGATTTTAAGAAACTAATAAAAACGGTCGGATATACGAAAATAATATAAATTATTTGTGAGAAACGCATAAATCCGAATTGAATTTGATTTTAAAACAGGCGTACTACACACCGAAATCCTTTTAAATTCACCACTATTACGTGGTTTGACGAATAATCGATCATAGGGAAATATAATGTTTATTATAGACTCAAGTAGTCGTATATTAAAATATATATATATATATAATTAAATATATAGTTAAAATATTATTTAATACACGTGTTTAAATTATTTTTATTGCCATTGGAGAAAATGTTAATCGCACATAAATCCCGATGTCTTGGCATGTTTACAATCGTTTACCCGGATCTTAAGCGGGTGCCCGTTTTTCCTCGATAACACACGTCAGTTCCCCGTAAAAAAAATATGAAACCAGCTTGTACCGCACGCGTGCTAGTCTTTCACAAGTGACTCTCTCGGGTTACCCATAATATTATACATTTATACTATAATAGGTATTAAGTAGGTACATAAGATCTAATCTACTAGAAGATATACATAACATTTTAAAATACTGTATTATACTGTAGTATAGTATTATAGTAGATTGGTCAATCGATATGAGCACAGAGCTAAAAAAAACCGTTAGAAAACCAAAAATAGAGATTTTTGAGGGGACGATTAATTTTCCTCTGATATGTAGAGCTTGTAATACACGCAGGGGTATGTGTTGACCATCGAAAAATATAATTCACAATAATAATAATAATACCAAACATATACATAATTTTACTTACTTGAATAATATTATTGACTACTAATCCCTGCCGATAAGTGTACGACTACGATTCTCGTATTCGTCACTCGTGGTTTCGTAAGTTGAGAAGATAAACAGCGGAAGAAAATTTAAGATTAGGAAATCGAAAAAATGACCGTACTAGTACGCGAGCCACTTGCGGGGGTGGCGGAGTCGAGCGTACACTCGCGAAAAACCGATTCGATAACGTCGCTGGTGGCAGCCAACCGTTGACTACTTGAGTACCCCGTACTCGACTAACTGCTTACTGCGCCACTACTGCGGTCCGTGCGCCCGAGGTGATCTTTGGTGACGGCACTTTGCGCGGGGTGACCGGTTCGACTGATGCGCACGCGCGCTGGCGCGTGCGTTCCTCCCAGCCAACAGCTGTTTTTCTCGTGTGGGTCACTGCCGCCGCAAATTATTGTCCTCGACATAAACAAAACAACTCACAAACCGTATCGTATTCATAATATTATTATTATTAAACAACCATAATATCAGAATGATATCCTATCCTATAATATTTACAATATTATGGGGTAGGAAACTCGGTTAAATATATAATATATTAAAAAATAAAATTACATTAAAATTATTAAAAGTATAAGTTAGAATTTGTCAATAATAATTATATAGGTACGTCATATTATATTATAATTATTGTTATTATTATTTAATAAATTATACACATTACTATCATATTTAAATATTTAATAAAGCTCCGGTCTAGTAATAATTATTGAGATCAATTTTATTTATTTGTAGATAAAAATAATTATAAAATCCTATACAATCTACTTATTATATTTTATAGTATTTATTACCTGAGTAAGTGAGTTCCAATTTGTGAACATTATTTAATTAGTAACTATGTGTATACTATACAAGTATGTGTATGCGTATAATGGGTTATTCAAAATGATTCATACATTATAAAATTCTTGTTTTTTTTTAGTTTTTAGATTTAGAGTAATACATATATGATACATTAAACAAAAGTACAATATTTCAAATTTATTGAATGATGACTATATAAATGTACTAGGTATACCTACTGTATGGCTTCCATTGATCACATGAACAAAATCTAGTTGAAACCCAAATTCATTCCATGCATATCCGTTGTAATTGACTCCACTAATTGTTTAACTCGTCTGGGTTCGATGGTAATGATGGTACACGGTACAACGTAGTCATATGGCATAAGACTAAGTCCAGGTGACCTATGGAGCCAAGTGAAAAGCATCGGATGATTCATTTTGAATAACCACTTATTATTAATAAACATTAAAGTTTTTTTTAACTAATATTTTTCATAAAACACAAAATGTAAAAACTAAAAAGAAATATTTTTGAGTGCCGTTCAATTATTGGCCAACATGTCATATTCAGTACGCATGTCAGCATGTGCCCTATACGTTTACCACCACTTACATGGATGAAGTTCAAATGCAAAAAAACAAACTTACAATAA